TTAGCTGATACATGAATACTCATAAAACAATTATCTATTTGAAGAGAGAGAGGGAAGAGGGAATGGTGGTCCAATTGCGTCAGTCTATAGAGACCTCAAGATTTAACTTTCCTTGTTAATTGGCTAGCCAGCGACTTCTGATGCAACTTGAGTTTATATTTTAGCGAAATAGGTCAATGGTTTGAATTAGCCTTTGAATCCAGTGGTTAGCTGAAAATGTGATTTGGTTTTTATGCATGACCCCATTAAATTCTTATTATTTATAACGACTTCATATATTTTTTTGAAACTGATAATTAATCAGCATCTTTGGTATTTTCACGGGTTCGACTCTCTGAGTCGCCTATGGGACTAATCCAGAGTTCGCGTGCGAGTCCAAGGATTACGGTACTTATGCCCCTCCTCAGATGGTGTTGGTAGGATTCGAACCGAGATCCTCTCCCACCACTCAATCCTCATGCTACCAACTGAGCCACCACACTTGGGTTAATGACTTCATATTTGAAATACACAAACTTATATCTTTGTTAATCAACTATGACGATATCCATCTGTATTAATAAATACAGTGTGATATATATTTGACAAGAGTATTGATTTTAGGAAGCTTAAGTTACATGCTTTTATATTTGACAAGATTTCTGCATATTTAATCATGAAAAATTAAGATTGGTTGAAACTCCTATGTTATAAAAGAAATGGCAGAGGCACTGCTTATTTTTCATCCGTATTTTGTCTTTACAAAGGTACTGTACTGCTATGTTCAGATACAACCAATATTGACGTAGTAATGGAATAGAATAATAAAAAGTACTCTTGTTTCCAAAGAAACCTAGCTTAACTGGGTGAAGATATTTAGCAAAGACTGTTTAATTAAGGTTTGAAATAAATTTTAAGATTTAAAAAAAAAATTATTTAATTAAAAAGATTTTTTTTTAAGAAGAGCTCTGAATTTGTCCATTAGTATCAACACTACTGATGATTTCTAAAGTTAAAAGACACGTGTATGGTTATAATATAAAGTGTGCCAAATAATTCAACTTTCTATAAAGTTGATTGCCAGCTGTATAATTATGTCTGATGAGGTGTAATTACTATGCTTGTTGTTATTATCGTTTCCTTGCCTATAAAAGGAAACCTTGAGTGCTAGTATTGGCAGAACAAGTTTGCATAAAATAAAAGTTTGTGTGTTATTTCATTATGAGTTTCTAAAAGAGTTCTCTCTTCTCTCCGAAAACTAAATATAATGTGTTTACTATCATTGCTAATCTCTGGATGAGGAAGTTAGTATGCTCTACATTTGCCCTGCAAAGGGATCCTGTGTATCAGAAAACGGACTCTGCAATGATCCAATCTTACGGTCCTTTCATCATTAAGGAATCATGGATGATAGTCTCCAATGAAAGAGCTAAGAGGCTAAGGGGTGTCGTGAAATACTCAGATAAAAGGAGGACTAGTCCATGGTTTCTTGAGGATTGTGAGGCTCCCGACCACTTGGTATCAAAGCCAAACACTATGTCATTCTTGATGACAGGCTCCCTGCCTGATGAAAGCAGCTTTAAGGAAACTCTTCGAATTTCTTCCAAAGAAAGGGTAAAGATAGTAATGATATTATATGAGGTGAGTAGGAGAGGAAGTTCTCAAATCATGGATAGCACAAATACTGAACGGGATGACCTATTAAATAATAGTAATAGCAATAATAGTATTTATTATTATTATTATTTATTATTAGTATTAGATTTTTACAATAATGAATTGAAGACATATATGTTAGCCTATTTGAAGGCTTAGGCCTCTATGTACCAAAAAAGGCTTAGCCCAATAACCTGCATATTGGGCCTATTAGTCTATTAGAAATAGGGATGGTGACCTATACAAAGATTTTATAACAAAATAAGCTTTTAAATAAGTTTTAAGGTCAAATTAGAGTTTTAAAAAGGTTAAGTCGAGCCTTAATAAAAGACATGTCGTGTAAATAGGTCACACTAAAACTCGTGTAGAAAATAAATCAGGTCGATTTAAGATAAGACCTATACAAACAAGACACCTGAAAATCTTTTGAAGAAAAAAAAAGTGTTTTAAAAAACTTGTATTATTAAGGATCTAATTTTACCTGACATCTTCACGGGGAAAAAATAAATAAATAAATTAATTAATTAAATCATTCTCTAGAAACCTAAAGGGCTGGTTCATAAATCGTTTCAAGTTTGCTGCTTTGCTCTCTGAAGCACATAGTTGGGCCGAGAAAGTGCAGTTTTGTCACGAGCTCGGGCTTCAAACTCGATCAGATCCAAAAACTAAGTGACACAACTTGTATTTTTGGTATTTATTTTTTTTCATTTTTTCATTTTTATAAATTAAAAAAAAGAGTGTAGGATAGAGATTACAAAAGCACACTAAAATAACGTAATTTCATTAAAAATAACATAAAATTATGTCATTTAAAACGAAAAATATTTTTCTCTTAATTAATATATAAATAAACTCATACCCCGTTGTTGCAGGAAGAGTCACGGTTACGTTAGACACCTCTATCTTCCATATAATGCTTCTTCAAGTCTCAATCATGTGGTTCAATCATACATTCTTATGCTTCTTTCTTTTCTCTCACCTTTCCTTGTCCCTTTAAGGTCAAGATTCTAGTTAGAAAAGCAAAGCATATAAGGAAAACTTTCAAGCATATGTTGATTGATACCAATTGCAATATCTGTGCTCGTAATTAATTTCACTTATCTCACATGAATTATGTTACAAAAATATGATATATATATATATATATATATATATATATATATATATATTAACGCGAGCTTCACTTAACCGTCAAAACTTTATTCTTTATATTGTATTATAGAACCCATCTAAAACTTTAATACTATTAGATAAAACTATGTTAATAATTTACGAGGAGCGTTATTCTTACAACTTTTTTTGCTTATAATCTCTTACAACTTATTTTTAACCGTTGATTCCTGTTAATCTAACGGTTATGATTTATTGAAATTAATAATTAATCAATAAATGTGACATGATAAATTATAACCATTGGATTGATAGAAATCAACAGTGAAAAAATAGATTGCAAGAGGTTATAAGTAAAAACAAGTTGTAAAAATAATGTTGCTATGATTTTATATTATATTTCTCTGATAAATTATGTGGGTCACCGTCATGCATGCATGCATCCAACATGCTATTTTAACCTGAGACTTATTTCTGATAAATGAAAAATAACTCAGTCTTGCTGATCCTCCACTACTATATGCATAACTGCATTCTTTATATAGATTCCTGCATATAAGGCTAAGCAATTCAGAAGGTCACCAATTCTACGATGCGATCATGCACTTGTATATAGTTGCATGCCTAGGCTTATATATGCATCGTGCTTGCTTTTACTTAGTCTGCATCATTTATCATATACTATGTGCAGATAAAAACATTATACGGTTAATCTTAATTCCATGAACCTATTATATCTTCACCACCCTACTTTACATGGTTTATGCTCCGAAGCTAAAGAGACATGAGTTACAGACTGCAATCCAGAACAAGACCCAACAAACATATATAGCATTCTTCATATAACTTCGTAACGTTTTCCTAAAAAACACTAGTAGCAAAAAACTGGTAATTCAAAAAGCTATGTAACAGGGACTACCAACCCAAAAAAAATTATGAGATAATCCAAGAACGGAACCAAAAGGTGACAGGATGGTTCTACTTTTGAATTTAGACTATGACTCATACCCTTGACGCAGATAAATTCAACGAGGATCTTGTCTTGCTCATAGAGATCTAGTACCGTTGTGAGTCTCATATTATTTTGTAATATTTTTTATTTAATAATTTGGACTAGGAGGTATGAATAGCAATTGCAACTTCCGGCTTAGGGTTTTCTAAATTTATTTATATTCTATTGTAATTAGAGTAAATATTTTTTTTGATCCTCAGCAAATTTCGCGATACTCGATTTAGTCCTAGCAAATAAAAAAACTATTCGTGGTTCCTAAAAAATTCAAAATGGATCCATTTAGTTGAAATCGTGATCACTCACAAATTCAAAAAAAAACCCACATTAATCCCTCAAAAAGACTAAAATGGATCCATTTTGAATTTATTAGGCACCACAAATAGTCTTTTTATTTGCTAGGGATTAAAACGGGTATCGTGAAATTTGCTGAGGACCGAAAAGGATATTTACTCTTATAATTAAGTGGATTGAGAAAAAAAAAATACAATGAGAAACTTGCTTATTGTAACCCTAAATTGGTTTCCTTAGGTGCTATATACATGGTTTCACATGGGGAGACGATGACACCAATATTACATCACATGTGATAATAATATCAATGCAATCTTGTAATAGTGTTTGATAGTACATAATTTCAGCTCTAGTTGGTTTCCTTCTTTATCGGTCGTGTACATATGATAGGTTAAGTGCAAGAAAAAATGTTCTTTACTGAAAATTAATGCCGCACCATCAACAGTATTTTTTCTTTTTTTTTAATTTGATACAAATTAAGACCAAAATTCAAGTCAGATGACACTATTTTCCACTTTTTTTTCTGGGAAATCCACGGTAATAGATATGACTAATAACAGCTAAAAGATTGGTAATTCCGTAAGAAAATATATATGTTTGCTGTGGTTGGATGAACATCCAAACACAAAGAAGGAAAGAGTGAGATAAATCATAAGCATTGCACACTATCTCAATTTCCCATCATAATAGAAGCTGAACCATATTATACCAATTTACTAAATACATGAATTGTATAGTATACCATATTATTTCAATTTACTTTCGGATAATTTGAAGCTTACTATTTGCCTATCACAAACAAATAGTAAACTTCAAATCATCCGAAAGTAAAATAAATGAAATAACCCGCCAGCCTACAAAACTAGGCTCAATTTCAGACGACTAGCTCATTGCATTACACCTTCGTTTTAATTTCATTTTCAGGTGCAGCATCATCTTCGTCATTATCATCTGTTTCTTGGTATGTACAACAGAACTATAGACAGAAAAATAGTACCAAGTGAAAAGTGCCTCATGTTCCATAAAGAAAGAAAAAAAAACATTAACAAAAAAAAAAAAAAAATTAACAAAAAGAAAAGAAGTAAAAGAACACAGATGCATCGTTTCCCTATTGGACAGCATTGGCGGCATCAAATCTTCAAGATTGATAGAAAAAATTTCTGTAGGGATATTTGACAGCAACAATAGATGGAGTATATGGGTCACAGGATAAGATTTAACTCTCCACAATCTGTGGACCGCTGTACTTTCCTCCTCCTACTTTTAAGTCTTCAAGTTGCTCCCTCTCTTGAAGCCATTCATATGCATTCCTTTCCTCTTCTGGTATGGAAATTCCATCCACTGAAATTTCAGAAAAGGTGCAATCCATTAGTTAATAGAAACATAAATGGAGCAGCATATATAGGGTTTAATGTTTCTCCAATAAAAGATAATTTTATCTCTTATGTACACATGCAATACAAGTGAGAGGGGCCCTATGAAAAGAAGATAAACAAAAGGAAAAAAGTGGGATCCACCCACTTGCATATGTCATGTAAAGAGCATATCTATTAGAAGGTATAAAGTTGAATAGTGACAAAGATTTTAGTGGCAAGAAACCTGAAAAGTTGGAAAAGAGGTAATTAAGGTAGTATGTGCAGTGTCTGCCCTCAGCATCGGAATATGGAGGACCAAGCACATCTAGAACTGCGCACGCTGTCACTGCTGTGAAACAATGCATGTTTCCCCCATCCTCGGGATAAAGGATAGAGGGGTTGCAAGGTGCAGTAAAATCAGCATCAACCTTAACTTTGGCTAACCGCATCTCAGGAGTCTGGCCTGCATAATTAGAATATGAAAATTATTTGCTTTAATATTCTTTCCTAAGTGGAGGAGAGTCTACAAAAACGATTTTTTTTTTTTTAATGCTAATGTAAGAATGTAATTTAAAAGAGGGCAAGCATGGAATACTAGTAAATCTGCTACTTTGTGACTTTTCGGTCACGGGTTCATATGAAAAATAGCCTCTTTGCAAATATGCAAGAGTAAAACTATGTACAAGAATTGTCCTCCCTCACCCCTACCCACATTAGTTGGGTTTTAACGAAGAGTAATTTAAATGTAAAAGTGTTCTTTCTAAATTTAAAAGAAGTTTTAATGAGCATCTTGAACTCAGCTAAAACAAAGAAAACAAAGACATGACCATTCATTATATCTATCTTTGCAACTAGAGGAAGTTGCTAATACACACATCATAGGGTTGTCCAACGATGATGCTAGTTGACAATATTATTGCATTGCTTCTACATCATCATAAATAAGAAATAGTGAATAGTACAACATGGAAAGATTACAAAATCGGAAAAGTACTCACTTTCTGACGGTTTGACAATGGTAGAAGATTCAGGAGGCAAGTCAACGACCCAATCATATGATTTGATGTGCATAGTTCCAAAAAGAAGCTTACTAAAAACCGTCATTCCAGGGTGATTATGAAGAGGAATAACCCCAGAAGGTGGCAAACAAAATATTCCCATCTGCAATTTATAATAAAATAAGGTCACCATAAACAAAAACAGCGCTCCGCTCATACATCATAAAAAGAGTTCAAGTTATAGCTTAAATACCGAGAATTTTTCACACTCATAAATGTGAAGATATGTAATTCTTGGCATTCTTTGACCTGCGTTTGTCCGAAAATATGGCATATCAGGTTTCAAGCCAACATCTTCTGGTTTTATTCCATCTGCACAAAGAGAGGCAAGAGTTTCATGCATTGCATGGCACATAAAATACTTACGAAAACTGTTAAACAACAATTGGTAAATAATTCTTGGCATTACTGCATAGATAACCAAGTGGTCCAAGAAACTGTTAAGTTAGTGGATTCCAAAGGACTATTAGACAAAAGTTCACTATAGGTTTCATGTGTTTAACAACTCCAACTAAACAATGTGTTTTTGGTCCTAGACTCCTATGCCTTCAGCCAATGAACAATTTACTTTTTCCCTCTTTGACAATCATCACCATAGAAAAAATATTTTGCCAAAAACATTCATCTAGCTGTCAAGCCCTCTAGCTATTACAATAATAAGGATTGCATGCAAACCTTTAATAACCAATCATATAGCTCATTATCACTAAAAGAGGCCTAATTTAGGGTCTACTGAGTCCAAATTATCCACATAAGCTGTCAAATGAACAGATGAGACACAAGTGGTGAGAGTGAGGGACAGAGAGAAGAAAACGTCTTTATCTATGCCTGATACATACACTTGGCATTACATTGTAAACTGAAAACTTGCATGTAAATATATCTCGTGGGAAACAACAAGCACATGATAACAAGCATTTTTTTTTTTATTTGACAGTCAAAGAAAAACCTAAGAATACATCAATTACATGCATGCATGTTAAGAATTAGCGTATAAAAGAGCACAAACCCCACCACCCAAACAATCTAAAGTACAAGCAGGACGAGAGATAGATAAAAACTGAAATTGGTGCAATTTGTGAAATTGAATAAATACCAAAAGAATATGTATAAATTAATATTATTTAATTAAAATGATACATAAAATAAAGGTATGAAACAAATGAAATGTCTGACTTGATCCTTCCAAGTACACAACCAAATGATTATAATTCCAAGAAAACCGGAAAAATTCAACCCAATTCATTCCTGATCAAAATCTTCCCATCGAAACCTAGTTGGAGGGAAAACAACCAATAACAACACACGACATAAAAGAACCTGAAACCAAAAAAAAACCTCGTACCTAGAACAGAGCGAAGCTTCTCAATGTCTTGAATGGGAGGGACAAACCCTATAGCAGCAGAGGCAAAGACATCTTTGCAAGTATCGTAGAGCTTCTGAACCAGCGGCGGCGGCATCTTCTTCTGACGCCGGCGGTTCTTCCTTGACTTGCTGCTTGTAGTCGTTTCTCTTGGCAATTCACAAAAGTCTCTGCCTTTTCTATCAGCCAAGGTCCTCTCAATTCCCATTCAAAACACCCCAAAAAAAAAAAAGGCCTCAACTTTGATGACCAATTGAAAAATGCAATAAAAACACAACCCCCGAAACTCAAATTCAGGAAAATGGGTATCCAAAAAATCACTTAAAAATGCAAAATTAAGGGACCCCAGAAAAAAAAGCAGAGGAAACAGGGGAAGGAGTATAACAAGGTAAAAATAAGAGTATCTTTGTATTTTTCTTTTTTTTCTTTTTTTTTACACAGGTGTTTGTTGTTGTTAAGGGTGAAGGGTAAAAAGAGGAGCTGATAGATGTGAAAATTGGTACGGAAAATTGTGCTGGAATTATTTGTAGGTGAAAGTTGTGTATTGACATTGATATAAAAGAGGTAGAAGAAGCAGTGGCAGAGTTAGTTGAGAGAGAGAGAAACATAGTTGGTTTTTACAAGAGAGATCACAAAACCAGGGGCCATGCTTGCTATTCCAGTGGGCTGTTTCAACAGCGGATTCTTTTTATTTTATATATATATATATATATATATCTTATTTTATAATATGATTTCAATATCTACATGGTATTTAGTATATACTTTTTTTGATTTGGTGGTTTATACTGCTTTGTTTTTATTTTTATTTTATTTTTCGTATGAAGCCTCGTTCGCTCGTGCCATTTCCACGTGTCTGAAAAAAAAAATTCTCAATATGTGGGTTTCGATTTTGAATTTTCAATTCAAGAAGTGGGACGCTTATAAAATATTTGTTGCCTTGCTTTTTATTTTTTATTAATAATAAATCAGGATACGTGTTAGGCTCCGAAATTCGTACCATGTGGTTTGAAAAGATTGCGCATCCAATTTTGGATAATTTATAGCACTAAGTAATTTATGTCAAACACTTATATATATATATATATATATATATATATATATATATATATTGAGTAATCTTATCAAGTGAGAGATATTCTCTATTACTTTATGTTTGAGACACGAGTTTTATTTTTCTCATGTTGCATCAGATAAATTGTCTTATATAACAAATAAAATTGGGTGGGATCCACTTTTTTATTTTTTCTGTGGATCCCACCCATTTTTTGTGTGTTGTATGAGACTCATGCAACATGAGAAAAATAAAACCATATATATATATATATATATGGGTAATGTTTTTCTTATGTCATTGGAGAGAGCTTACCTCATGCCATAGACCCTTCGAAATTTGAGCCATCAATTTTTCTTTTTTCTTTTTGTTATAGTGTAGGACCCACTTGAAGATGTCTCTATAGGAGATAGTCTTGTCTACAATGACATAAGAAAAAGCAATCCCTATATATATATATATGGGTTCGTTTTTTCTAAAGTTACTTTAGACAACTTTATCTAATATTCGTCAAAACAACGTTGTTTTGGGGCGAAAATCATGGCGTATTTGTAATTTTAATTTATTTCAGGGTTATAATAGTCTCTATCATTCTAAATTTTTAAATTTTCAACCTCAAAACGACGTCGTTTCAGCGAACATTAGACAAAATTATCTAAAGTAACATTAGATACTTTTTCCCCTATATATATATATATATATAGGACTTATCATTCCCACAAGCTGCTTAAGATAATTTTATCTTCGGATACTAAATCATAACGGTAATAAAGGAAGGGAGAGAAAAAAGGAATCATAACCATTCAGAGGGAGGTGAATCAATTAATATAAGGAAATGAATAACAAAACGACATAATTTTGGGATGGCCGGAGATAAACATATCTAAAGTTGCCGGAGAAATATTTTTTCTATATATATATATATACACACTTTAAGAGTAATATCTTTAATAATTCAGATTTAATTTAAAAAATATTTTGAAATTTATTATTTAAGTTAATTATAATGATTAAATTATTATTATTACGAAATTATACTTCACGGAAATACTTAAGATATTTTTATCATGTTGTTAATATTTTTTCTCCTTCGTTAAAATTAAAGATAAATTCAAAAAGGTAATAGTTTATTAATTTTTTAAAGCAAATGGAAGGTAAAAAATATATTACAAAGTATTTTAAATTAAATCAATGTTATGTGATTTATTTTTAGTGACCTAATAATATATTTTACAGAACGAAATTTTGAGAAAATACAAGGAATCTGTATTCATTCTGAAAATTAAGATAAACATCCATCCGTTTCAATATTTTAAATTAAATTAATATAATATTCAATTAATTAATTTATCTTCTTGTATAAATAAAAAATATGTTGATATATAATAAACTAATAAAAATAGTTTATATAATTAATGTTAGTATTAATAAGTTAAGCATAACGTTTATTTACGTGAAGAATGCAAGTAGGGCAACTTGAATCCGCTGTAAACTTGCACCCACCTTATCTCACAATAGGGCAGTTTAGAGTTTGAACTCACCAGCTATATAATAATGGGTTTCGATTTTCTCTATTACTAAAATTGGTTTAATGGTAAGTGATTTGGGTAATTTGTATTAGGTTATATCTTAATTTCCATCAATATATCAAAAAAAAAAAAATTATTATCTTGTGTTGCATACACATCTTAAATAAGACCTACATCTAAAAAAAAGTTGTTGCAATCAAAGGATCACCCGCAAAAGAAAACAACACTCCAAAATATAAATTGTCTAATTCGTCTAAAGAGTTATACTATATAATGAGGTTTTTTTATTATTATTAAATAAATATGTGAGATGTGAATTATATCATAATGAACACAAAGCCTACCAAAGAGCACCTTCGGCGGTTTAAGGGTATAATATAGTCATTTTTTATCTTGTTATGTTTTTTTACATATTTTTTTTACGTGAATTTACTTATTAAATGTGAAGTTTTTTTTTTATAACCTAGAGGTATCCCAACACAATCTCCTCTAATCATCTTGTTCTTCAAGTACGGCCCCTAAAATTAACTTATTAAAACAAAAATGCATTGAACCATTGTCATTGAAGAATTTGAACCTTGACCAAAGCAAATTCTTGGACACTCAGTTGCCAACTGAGTTACCTTTGGAAATTAATTTTATTTTTTGTATAAGTACATTGAGTAGATTTAAACTCTTAATATTTATAAAATTTAAACCGTTAAAAAAAAGTTTATTAATCTCATTTTACATAAGATATTTCTCTCCTATCATAGACACAACCATATGGTGGGGCCTAGGGGTGTAAATGGGTCAGGCTGGCCTGGCCTAACCTACAGCTCAGCTTGCGTTGAGTCTGGCCTAGCCCGGCCTACGTTGGAAAGTAGAGTAGGCTTAGGCTTATAAGAAAGCTTTTTTAACAAGTAGGTCATAGGCCAATTTTGTCAAGTCTGGCCTAAAGCCTTGTAGGCTGGCCTATTTAATTTTTTAAAATAAAATTAAATAATATATTTAATTTAGGGTTATACATTATAGAGCTGGGGTATTATGTTGACTCTTTCTTTTTTGTCATTTTTTATGAATTATGATAAGTACTAGTGCATACATGAATGGAACTTTGCTCAGTATATTTTTATAGTTATTTTTTTACTATTGTGAAAATTTTAATGCTCACTAGTGCAATTTATATCTCGTGTAAAAAAATTCAGCAATTTATAAACACGTTAATGATTTGTAATGTCAAGCGAATGTTTTAAAAATTGTTAAAAATATTTCACTATGGAGGCCTACAAGGCCTATAGGCCATATAAGGCTCTCTAATTTTTTAAAATAGGCCAGACTTGGCTTATAAATAAAGTCTTTGGTAAGCCAATAGGCTAGATAGGCTGAATATTTTTTTATGTAGGCTTAGGCCAGGAAGGTCAAAGCCTAGCCCAGCCTGGCCCATTTACACCCCTAGGGGCCGACTCACTTATTAAAGAAAAAAAGTGGGGGTGTGTGCGGTCTGGAATGGATCGATTTTATCATTTAATGATTCAATCCAATCTAATCCAATCTCTTTGGTTTAATCATTTAATTGTTCATTTGGTTTGGAGTTTTTTTTAAATCCAATCCAATTTTATTCAGTTTAGATTAGATTCGATTTTTCATTTTTTTGAAAAGCCCTAAATTTCAGTCATACAAATCACTAGCTATTAGGGGTGTTCGCGGTCTGGATTGGATCGATTTTGGAAGCAAAATTCATCTGATCCAGTCCCTTCGGTTTGATCATTTAATCATCCATTCGGTTTAGATTTTTTTTTCAAATCCGATCCGATCCAATCCAATTTTTTTCGGTTTGGATTGGATCAATTTTCGGTTTTTTGAATATCCTAAAATTAGTTTCATGATTATTGTGCAAATAACATCTTTTGTATATATTGGCTTTGTAAAAAAAAATTCGAAATACAAAAATATCAGTAAACAATACTATAGTTGATGAGACGTGACTAAATTTTTTCTTGGGTTTAGTTCATGAGTTTATGGGTCATGGGTTTAGAAATTTTTGAGATATAATTAGGGAAAGGACCAAGTAGGTAGAGGAGAATTAATATATTGGATCAGTTTGGATTGGATCGGTTTGGATTAGATCGGTTTTCATCAACCCATTCGAAAACCGATCCAATCCAATTAAAATTTATGATTTTATTTTCGGTTTTTCGATTTTCGATTTATTCGGTTATTGGTTTTTCGGTTCGGTTTGAATCGGTTTGGATCGGTTGATGAACACCCCTAGTAGGTATATCAAAATAAAGCCCTTCAAAGTTATAAATCACTAAAAAAATTCAAGTCTTCAAATTAAAATAAGTCTTAAAACTCATGAAGAGTTAAAATACATTAATAGACAATAAAAAACTAAGATTAGATAGTTTGCTATCAATAACATCCAAGATTCCAAGACACCATCTTTCAAAAATAATAAATATATAATACATTTGATCGATTTTCACCAATAAAATCGAAAATCAATACAACCCAATTAAAATATGCGGGTTTTTTTTTGTTTTTGGTTTTTTGGTTTTTGGTTTTTCAGTTTTCGGTTAATACGATTATCGATTTTTCAATTCGGTCACCGCGATTTGAATCGATTTGGATCGGTTGATGAAC